CAGTAATTGTTGCCCACCTTCTGAAGACGTGTTCTCTAATTCAGTTCAACAGGTTCCAACCATCACTAAGCAGTCCCAAGTGCAAGTCGCCTTTCCTTTCGATGAATATTTTCAAATTGAGTGTGAAGCCAAAGGAAATCCGCCACCCGAGTGAGTATCCCTTCAAACCACATAATACTGAAGAGCACACCATCCTTCATGCTAATTTTTAATCTGACCACCGTGAACTTGTTGCATTATAAATGTAGAACGGAAGCTCAGGGTTCCCAAGTGTATGATACAAAGTCTATGAAAATAAAGTCTCCTTATTTTATACATTACCTAAGTGATATAAAAAAGTTACATCACAGCCGGGCAGGGTGGTGCACACCTGTCATCCCTGCGGCTCAGGAGGCTGAGGCAGGAGGATCGCGAGTTCAAAGCCAGCCTCGGCAACAGTGAGGTGCTAAGCAACTGAGTGAGATCCTGTCTCAAAGTAAAAAAAATAAAAAAGGCCGGGGATGGGGCTCAGTGGTTAAGCACCCATGGGTTCAAACCCCAGTACCAAAAACAAACAAACAAACAAACAAAAAACCTTACATCACTGTCCACAGAACTGTGACTCTCTTTTAATGGAGAAGGAATTTAACTATGTGTGTGTGTGTGTGTGTGTGTGTGTGTATTTTGGGGAACCCAATGCTGCCACATTTATTAAAAACATAAAAATTTATTTTCCTGTTTGTCTGTTGGTTTTATCTTAAACGAATTAGGTTAAAGAAAATATCTGGGCCAGTACCAAAAAATATGTATGTAGGGTTATTTTTCATTGTATTAAACATGGAAATGATGAAATAAGTAAAATAGTAACCATTTGACAGAAGATAGCGGAGTAATAAAATATGTGTTTAGTACCTTTATAGAATGAACACAATTCAACTGGCAAAGTTATGTATTTAGCATGGTCTCAAATACGTGACTAATAGAACTATGACTAACTAACAGAACTGGCGTGTGTGTTTTTGATTTTGAGTGAGCTCTCTGCACAAACACTTGCACATGTACACACACACACACAATTACATTGTACATTTATATTTATTGTAGTCTTTAAACTATAAATAAT